ATGCAGCCATTATTTCAGAATTCCAACTAGTGCTGCAGTGGATTTTGGAAGAGACATTCTCTGCCAAACTCTCAAAGTTCATAGTTCAGAGTCTCAGTTTCAGATATGATATGTATCAGCTTTGATAAAGACAATGCTAACATTGTCATTTAACTGACCTCAGACTTGACGTTTGTAGCATCTTCCTATATTTCTTGTTGCATAAAAGAAACAAAATGAGCATATCAGCCTTTCACAACATCCTTAAGCTAGTCTCCCACTAATCCAGGTGTATCTCCTTACCAGTGGTTCTAGCAACACATGATCACACTAATTGGACCAATTTTGGGAATGCTGAGTCCTCATCCACTTTCTCCTGGAAGTGCCTGGTATTCCTTGCTTCAGATTTATTCATTGCCTTGTTGTATGCCTAGCCATTTACACTTTGTCTAGAAAAGCAGAATTAGGCCTGGCTTGGCTGCTGTAATCAGACTTTGGGAGGGGTGTTCTGGGATTCCCAGCCTTGGCGCTGAGTTGTCTGATGGAGAAACTTGCTTTTTCAACCACATATAATCTACCTTTCTTCTTCTTTACCCTTAATCTGCTTTTGCTGAATTACGTTCCCTTACCTGCATTTCTCACCATATTCTCTGTGTTTTATATCTGCTATCAACAATTCTTGATCTGAAATACTGGCTCAGGATCCATCAGTTCTAATGTTATACACCTGTAAGCATCACTACAGCTTCCCTTAAAGACAGTCATCCTTTAAGCAGTCAATCCAAAGACTTAATGGTAACCTAAATCTCACTGTCCTGTGGTTTGGAGGCTACTACAGATCAAATAATCACACTGAACCCAGAGAGCAAGTGTACCATAGTCAGTTGCTAGTAGCGTGATGCATATCTTGTTTTATGATTTGCTACCCCTTCTTGATCATTACTAGAAGCCACAAAATAAAGGAGAAAAGGGCTGTATTATCTTCTAGGTACACAGTCATCTGAAGGCTGCTATTGGTTTCTCATGAACAATTCCAGCTATAAATACTTCCAGATGTGGGGTGGGCCTTTGCTCAGTCCTCTAAGGAACTGGAATAGTTGCTTTTCAATTTATTTATAAGTGATCAGAAGATACAGTTGAACAATGAGACGTCCAAATTTTGGGACAGAACAAATCATTCAGGGTGGGAAAAAGCAAAAGAGGTGCATGGGGGAAAAAGGCAAATGTAGTTCAATATAAATGTGAACCAATTGGAGAAAAAAAGAAAATAATTAAAAATTCACCATAAAACAATATCTCAAATTGTGATGGAGAGTCAGTTAAAATATCATGAAAGTATGGCAACTGTGAAAAGGTGAATGCCATGCTGGCTTTCAGTAAGAACCAGACTGAAAATAGGCAATGCTATTTATACTTTATACAAATTGTTAGTGAAACTAGCGCTGGAATACCAACAGTTGCTAGAAAAGGAGCATCTAAAACAATCAGGAGGAACAGAGCAAAGTTCCTACAGAGTTTTAAGCATAATTTCTACTCACCCCATCTCTATGAGAAATTCATAATAAAGAGTTGGAAGAACTTCATGCACAGCTGAATGTTTAAAGTAGTTGCTATAAGATATGGTGACAGCCAACAAAATAAGTAGCTTTAAAATGCAGTTAAATACATTCATAGATATTGAAGCTATCCATGCTGTGATGGCTCTGTGCTACTTCTAGGGTCAGAGGCAATATGACTCTGGATGGCCACTGATGGGAAACTATATGAATGTAATAACTTGTTCTCAGTTCCACTCATCTCTGCAGTTCATTAAAAAAATAATCAGTGCTTTTAACATACAGTGCCAAAAAAGAAGAATAAGGAAAATTCAAAGGTAACAGAAACAAAAATAAACAGAATAATGATATAAAAATATGCAATAGGTAGGTATGTAAATAAATAATATCCATGACAATCATTCAGTTAACAACTGATTAACCATAGATGACACAGAGGAGAATTGGTCTGCCTTTCCCCAATAAAGAAAGTGTTCTTGAGGAACACAAGTTTATAACTGGTAAGCACTGTATAAACATATCATAAATCCCAAGATTTTATGTCAGGTATGGGAAGGTCGTTTCATCATAGCAAAACAGTCTAATTAACCAGAGTTCATGCATAATAAATCCAAGGTACTTCATGCAATAATAGGTCCCACATTTTTGAATATAAGTCAACATCACATTGATATATTTAAATCTTATTTCTTTTGCCAGCACCATAAGTTTATAAATATTAAACCAGAATGGAACAACCTTGGAACAGCCCCAGAACATATGTGTCAATATCTACTCTGTTATCATACTGAAGTTGATTTCTAGGCCTTATTAAACATCTCCTGAAGTATCCAGTACATTCAATATATAATCTGTTGTTGAATTACAGAAGTGCATCTTAAGAGCAACACACAGAAATTTTAAACTCCTAACCCACTGACGGAATAATTTTTTATTCCATTTTTCTAGCAATTTATCAGTATCTATCTTTATAATACTCCTCACTTGTCTGTAAAAATAAATTGTGGGTTTGGAATCATCCAAAAACTCTTACAAGTGATAATAATATTTGAGAGGTTTCATATGCTTCCTATGTATCTGGTCCAAATTATGCAATATTAACTGAATATATTACCATTCAGCAGATTTCAACAGTCTGAATTTTCCTGATAACCATAAACTGATATAAAGTATTTATTCTATTTTTGGTCCATGAACTCAACATAAGAAAACAAAAAGAAAACAAAAGCAGGTACCAGAAATTCTGAAACTGAAATTATCTCAAAGTGTCAGTTTTCATAGAGACAGACATCAGATTTAAGCTTCCTACTCATCAACTTCCAAATATGTCTTGCAGCCTTTAATGCAACGAAAACAACTGGTATGGGCAAAAACCAGAACTAGTGCTTGCCAGGATTTCAAAGGAATTAAATAGTAACTTTCTAGTTTATACTGCTGCACTTGATGGACAGGGAAATACCACAACTTTGGCTGAGACAAAGGCGTGCATACCAGATGATATTCTGGCATATGCTAGATATGAGCTAAAGAATATAAGGGAGGTCTAACTCTGAAGAATGCACAGGTTCATTTTTTAAAAAGAAAAGACTTGTTAGTATACCAGTAAAAAGGGAAGTAGGGCAATTTTGGAATAGAATTGCAAAGCTAACAGACAATAAGGATATTGTAAGTTTCAGTGGCCTTTGATTTGCCATGCAGTGGATAAAATGGGCAGATTCAGAGTGATACCAGAAAAAAAGAACAAAATGGATGTATTTGCTTCTTTTGGGAGAGCCAGATTGGTGTAGTGGTTAAGGCACCAGGCTAGAAACCAGGACAGGAGTTCTAGCTCCACTGTAGACACAAAGCCAGCTGGGTGACCTTGGGCCAATCACTCTCTCTTAGCCCTAGGAAGGAGGCAATGGCAAACCATCTCTGAAATTTTGCCAGGAAAACTGCAGGGACTTGTCCAGGCAGTTGCCAGGAATCAAAAATTGACTCAAAGGCACACACACACACACTTGTTCTGGAGTGGAAGGAAAGCAATAGGCCTTGCATCCTGTCCCTTATATTCATTTTAAATGCATCAAGGGTAATAATAGGTATGTAAGTTAAGGATTTTTTCCATCAATCTCAACTCTTGACTTCAAAGGAATCCATGTAACTTCATAGATGCATTCATAACAGTATAGAAATGGTTTGCCATTGCCTTTTTCAGGAATGTTTTTCAACTTTTCACTTTATTCTATCATCCCAGTATTTCCTGGAGTTCTCCCATCCAAGTATTAACCAAAATTGACCCTGCCTAGCTTCTAAACTCAGACAAGGTCAGACAAACACTGCCATCTACTAAGCTACATCAAGGATAATAGCTGTGTTCTAAGGTCTATAAGCCTCTGATTCACAGTGGAGTAACTATTCTGAACTTTTCGGCACATGAAAAGAATATATAGAAGAGGCAGTGCTTGCAAATAAACTCCTATCTCACACCTCGGCTCACATTGTTCATATTACAGTGATTTGAATAGGGCTACAGTAAATGACCTTTTGTGACCTGCATGTATGTGTGATGGCAATTAGAAAGGTTGTAAAAGCAGGGTTGGTTCAAAGCTAGTCTTTGAATAGCAATTGTTACCCTGGGAATGAATGTCTATAGGCATTACTAGTTAATCTGTTTTTCATTATTTATTATTGTTGCATTTATTGGTCTTATGTTGCAAAGTGCCAGGAGTCTCACAGTTTAGAGGAACTGTATATAAATTAATTTTAAAAATTAGCCATCAGTTTATGCCTTTCTAGAAGAGGTGCACAGAAGTGCTTTTTCTGCTGTGGGTGCAACATTGTTGGGGAAGGGGGAGGGATAAACATCCTGGTCACCAAGTGGCATACGTAATAGAGATGCAATTGCTAAGATGCAGCTTTAGAAGAGAGGTGTCTTTTACATACTGACATCTGTTGGGCTGCCATTGCTGAATAAACTCCAGCTGAAATGATTCTCTTAACAGTTTTTCCCTTTGTTGTTGATTCAGTTTTATGTGTGAATCCCATGCCTCAGAATGTTAATTCTACTTGTTTGGTTTCAACTTGTGAATAATTCTGAGCACTTTTTCCTACACATGTATTGTTAGAAAAAAAAATAGCATCCATCTAAAGAAGCATTGAATGTATCAGGATATTTCTACTTAAGGAATGCAGAGTTTGGGCTTTGAGTCCTTGCTGGGTCACCCAGACAGCACTTAACTTCTTAGTTTGTCCTTTCATAGTTGAGCCTCTCCAAATCAGATTGTCTCTTCCTGAAACTTCCTGGTTGGTGGTCTCAGCTATTTGATTATTCCATGCGAATGAAAAACTGAAAGGAGAAGCCTTTAACTGCCAACTGGCAAATGCTGGACAATTGCAAAGTCTGGCCTGGAGGTTTGGAAGGGGTTGGGAGATCAAATCTGGTTGTCCAATGTTTAACCAAATCTGACTTTGCTTTCAATGCAGGAACTATTGTGCATATGTGGTGCAGAGGAATGTGACGTGCACTCTTCAGGATGGCATGGAGAGCTATGTGAAAGCTGAATATCACAAGTGCAGCTGGGGACCCAAGTGTCCGGGAAAAGTCTTGTAAGTATAGTCAGGGATAAAGGTGTAGAGATCTCTTTAACATCTTTTGACTTGAGAAAAGTCACTACTATAAATTGATTATCACAGATGAGAGCAAAAGTCCTGATTCTTCTACTTTCATTTTCTTATTAGTCTTCTGAGCCAAGGTGGTTAAGATGGCTAAGGTGTTGGGTGAGGACCAGGGAGACCCAGGTTCGAGTCTACTCTTAGCCATGGAACTCATTGGATGAGTTAGGATCAGTCTGTCTCTCTCTCTCAGCCCAATCAATCCCACAGGGGAAAAAATGGAGAGAGGTCCCATGAAAGCTGGTTTGAACATTCAGAGTGAAGGTGGGATGATATGATGATGATGATGATGATGATGATGATGATGATGCAAGGACCTTCATGTAAACCATTGTTTCCCAACTTCAGCAACTTTAAGATGTGTGGACTTCAACTCCCAGAACTCCTCAGTCAGCATGCTGGCTGGAGAGTTCTGGGAGTTGAAGTCCATACATCATGAAGTTGCCAAGTTTGAAAAACACTGATGTAAACTATATCAATTATTTAAAATTCTTAGTATAACAAGAGTATCATTATTTGCTGAATAATACATGAGCAATATCCAGCAAATTAAAGTTAAGAAAACAAAAGTTATTTGAGGCTGGGTGATCTCAGGAATAGAATTTTAAATCACATCAAGCAACTTTGGTACATTAAATCATTTAACCACTGTGTTTGCTTTGGGCTTAAATATGGATTTTATGCTAATTTACTTGTGCCTGATTTATTGATTTGAACTCCTTTATGCTGCCCACTGTCATTTTATGGCTCTAGGTGACTTGCACATTTTCATATATGACACAGATTTCTCTATATTTTGTGTGACTTGGAAAATATCAAATTTAATAGTTTACAACAGCATCCTATCCTGGATGAAATGTATTTTATACCACCTGAAACTTTTATATTTACAGTACCTCCTTTTTGTAACAGTTCACCTTTTGTGACTTTTGGGTGGTCCCAATAAAAATATTATCCTAATACTGGTTTGGTGTGAATAACTGGAGTCTTCTGATAGCAGGCCACTGAACAGAGAGAAACAGATAACACTTTCTGCTTATGTGTATGTGATGCTTACTTTAGGGCAATTTTAGGCATCGATTTCCCATGCCTCCTTTGCTTTCCCACATCATATTTTTAAGTGACAGAAGTGCTCTTGTGTTTAAAAATTGGAATGGATGTAATGCCTGCTTGCTTCCAACAAAGGCTCGCACTAGCCAAGAGTCCAAAAACTGCTCAGCATGACCATGTATTTCTTGGAAGTTGACCCAAATATAGCATAAATCTTTCTTAGGCTATGGACTGGATCCAAAGAACCATGAGTGAAAGGAAAATAGCTGTCAGCCCCATTCCACAGATACTTGCACAGGACCTTTCATGTGATGCTGTTGGAGGTGGGTTCAACAGCAGTTCTCTTTGGTCAGCTTGTATAAGACGTCTGCAGCCAGACTAACATTTTTGGAGATAGCTTTACTTTCATTATATGCCAAGAAAGCAGAGGCTTTTATACTGTATGCTTTCTGTATTTTTCAATGTTACTCTGTGATTCGGGCATAGAGATGGTGCAAAGATACATGATGATTATGTTGTTTGCTATACATTGTCTATATACCCAATTTTCAGAAACAGAGAGAAGATTTAGCCAGAAAGAGCTTACAGTTTATTAAAGAGGGGGATTACAGGAAAAAATATGTGGAAGAGAGATTAAAATGTACATGCCATTATTTCAGTTATAGTAAGTTAAATTATTATAGGAGAGCAGCTTTTTTTCAGCTGACTCTCTCCAGATGTATGTGATGGAATGGACTTATGAAGGCCAGGCTCAGGGTGATAAGCGTGTTCTTAGTCCATAGCACGAGCATGGGAAGTTCAAGAGGATGAGGCTGGCACCTCCCTAAGGAATTCACGGTGTTGTGGCTGGCTGGCTGGCTTGGGAGCTAGGGTTCAGTCTGGGAAGATTTCTGTCTGGAGGTTGTAGCTAATAAACACAGCAGAACTGAATTTGCATTGTCTCCTGGAGTTCTTTGGGCTGAACCTGACATGTGTTAGACTACATGGGGTTGATGGGAGCTGTAGTTTAACATACTGGAAAGCATCAAGGAATTCTGCAATGTAACACTGCGAAAGGCGAAGATTGTGCCAAGGCTTTGCAGAAAAGTGCACTGGGAGTAATGAAGGAAGATTAACAAGATCTGGACATAATCCAGGCAAAGCTAAACACATTTCTATGCCAGAGAAAATATGTGTTTATTTTTTTTTAATTGAAATCAGTAGGATTTCTGCATTCTGCCTATTTGTATATAAATGGTGATTCCCTAGATTTCTAATCTAGTTCTGTTACCCATAATCAAGAGTGTTTTACCTATAAAGTCACTATGTGGACTATATATGAGGCCCATTTAGATCACACAGGGTCACCCAGCATCCTGAGATCATGCTGCTGAAATCTGGTAGCAGAATGGCTGATTTGCACAGGTGTGATTTTTTCCCCTTTTGTTTAAAATAGAGATGAGAGTGGAAATGAGAGGCTTTCAAGAAACAAACCACCTCTATTTCTGTCCAAATAGCTGGAAATTGTGCCACCAAAATTTGTTGCTAAATTCAGTGGTGCAAAACCTGAGCTGAAAAATCAGGCAGATGTATGAATTTGATAGGCTGGAGAAATTTGAAAATCTACTGGTATATGGTATCTTAGCTTGACCTTCAACATTCGCACAAGATGAACCATAACTGATTTTCATTTATGGGACTCTTGTTTGGTTAGCTGAAAATTGCCAATTAATACACTTTTATAGGATACAGTATATTGGTTTCCTGGCCATGGATATCAGCTTTATTTTGATGTTCTGCTAGCTTCCTTGAAAGAATTTGTAAGCATTATTTAAACACTTCTTCCATAATACTGTGGAATTCCCAGTCTTTCCCCTACAAAGCACTTTGAAAATGATCTGTGATTGTCATCAGTTCAGCCAACTTCAAAATACTGAGAATATGCAGCGACCACCATACGGCACCATGAGTGTTTGCTCCAGCTGACTAAGATAAAAGTGCAAGAAGTACTGGTCATTTAGTCACTACCCTAGCCTCTGAGCTGTCATAGTCTTGCTCCTATGCCACACAAAAGAAGAAATGAAATAAATTGAAGCTCTGTGGTGGGGGGGGGGGGAGGTTAGAGTGATTGAGTTCCAGAGCCAGAAAGTAGGGAGAGCCAAAAGTTATGACCAATGGAAACACTGACTACCTACAAACTCTGTATTGCTGCAGCTTTGCATGAAACAGTAGCTTTGTTCTAGGTTCAAATAAGCCATATTGGATCCGGGGGGAGGGGGGGAAAGACTGCTTTCAAGAATAGCCAGTATATAGTCACACCGGTCTGGAGTTGGTTATCAACTAGGGCAAAGCCCTGGTACAGAAGAGAATTTTCCACAAGGCAATTTTTATATAGTATTGGAAAGTTAGGTAATTGACTAGTTTTAATTATTTTTATCACAGAGGTGACAAGTTGTTCATTAATTGATTTGACATCTTTATAAATTGCTCCTCTATCCACTGGATTCTTGAGGTGATATAAAAGTTCAGATGAAATAGCTCCTCGCTTTTTCAGAAGCAAGGGCTTGTGAACATAGGGAAAAAAATCTCTGAATCTTACTGATTTCAGTGAGAGAGTTAAAACAGGTGACTCACCAGCTCTGTTAATGGATCTTATAATCAAGGTAACCTCTGGCTTGATCACAACTTTCCTATACATCATCCTACCTTAAACATATTCAGGCAAAGCATGTCCCAAACTATGATGAGTGCATTTCTTTCTGGCATTGTGCTTACAGAAATGACTAGATTCTAATCTCAATGTGAATTTTGTGATTGCTTGATGAGAGTCTGACCCAACTTGCACACTTTACTGTTGTCAGCAGCCTCACTAATGACTTCCTCAGCATGTTTGCTTGGCTCTTGAAAAGTTTCTTTGGAAGTAAGATAGAAAAGATTTATTCCAAGGAAGTATGCCCAGAATCATAGCTTTAAATATGAGTAAATCCAACTGGTGTGTCAGTCCTAGTACACACACAAAAGCTATTGTATGCAAGTATATTATAGGCGTAGGGAACTTATCACAGGGTACTCCACTAAGTAGGTATATGTTTGATGTGTTTTAGTATTAAATATTATTACTGGTTGGTTGTCAAGTTGTCAGCTAATTTTATTAGACAAAATTTTGTACCTATAATGGTTTTTCTTTTGATCTGTACTCCACCTTGTTAAAGGTATATAAATAACAACAACAATAACAATAATAACAAAATATCATGCTTTGCTATTTGGGTTGAAAGATTATGATCAATATACCAATTATAATTGGATCTCTTGGTGCAATACCAAAAAGATTCATCAAATATTTAGAAATGTTAGAAGTACTGGATGTGACACCACTTATTTTGCAATAGACTACCGCCTTGAGTTATATATATAAAAAGATAGGATAAAATAATAATAATAATAATAATAATAATAATAATAATAATAATA